AGATAGATAGATAGATAGATAGATAGATAGATAGATGATAGATAGATAGACAGATAGATAGATAGGGATGAGGTGTGTGTGAGAGAGGGGGAGGGAGGAAGAGGGGGAGGAAAGGAGAGAGTTTGCATGAAGAAGGGAGATGAAGGGAGGCTATTGGCAGGGTCCTAGAGATCATTTCCAGCTAGGAGTTCTCTGCCTTTTATTAATATAGAACTCTGTAATCAGCAAGAGTGAATTAGCTTCACACAACTATGAATAGACTTTAAAGTAAAAGAATATTCTTCTATGGGTTCATTCAGCTAAGATGTATGCTATATGATCCAGCCATAAGTTTTTGGAAGCAATTCTACAGATATAAGAAATATAAGAAATGAAGAGATGTTTTGAAACAAGATGTTCACTTCCCATTTTCTCCACTGCCATTTAAAGTTTTACAGCAGAAACAGAAAATATTTTAATTTTCACTACAGGTAGCCCTTGAATTGTAACTATTCTTTTCACAAATAATTCTTTGCTTGAAGTCACAATGGTGCTGAAAAGGGTGACTTATGACCAGTCCTCACGCTTACAGGCATCACAGCATCCTGATATTGCAATTGGAGTGCTTGGAAACTGGCTTGTATTTATGGATAGTTATAGTATACTGGGAACACATGAACACATTTGCAACTTTCCTAGCCAGTTTCCAACATGCAAAGTCAATGGAGGAAGCCAGATTTCCTTAATGACTGTTTTAGCAATCTACGAGACAAGATGGCTCAATGGTTAAAGATGTGAAATTTGTCAGCTGGAGAGCTGACAGCCCAAGTTTGAAACCTGAGTATTGTGGAATGGAATGAACTCCCGTTCTTTGTCCCAGCTCCTGCTAACCTTAGCTGTTCAAAAGCATGCAAATATGAGCAGATAAATAAGTATCACTTTGATGGGAATGTAAAAGTGTTCTGTATACTTTTGGCATATAGCCATGATGGCCATACGTCCACAGAAAATGTCTTCGGACAATGCTGGCTCCCTTGGCTAAGAAACAGAGGTGAGCACCACCTCCTAGAGTTAGATATGACTGGATAGTGGAAACCTTTACCTTTAAGCAATCAGTCCTAAAATTGGGTATGGGTACGTGATGACTCACTCAATGATTGTATCACTTAGCAACAGACGTTTTGGTCTCAACTATGGTTGCAAGTTGACGTATGTAATGAAGGTTCCATCCGAAGAACATCATTTGACTAGATGGATACTTTTCACTTTATATATTCAACTCCTCCCTATGGCTTCCTACTCCAAATCTCTATCTCACTCATTTCCTGAATAGAGAAATAAAGAAACTGCAAGAGAAGAAAACACAGAAGCTCCTATCTGCATTTTACTTGCGGTTCAGTTGCCTGATTTGTTCCATTTCATAAACCATATACGGTCGAAGGGATTGATGAGCAGGTAAACCTGGAACAGCTGGGAGAGTCGTAATTCGCCTGTCAAGATAATACGGAGACCAGATAAATAAAGGAGGATGCAGAATAAGAGCAGAGGGCAGCTGCTCCTGGCCTAACACCTTACCAGCACTTTCTTAATGAAGGAAAGGCCAGCTTCTCAGGAGATAGATAGATAGACATAGGCAGCAACTCGCTGACTAGCTGAATCTACAGCTTAGTAGAGGTGTTTGTATACCTGCATCTAAGCAGATCAATTACTGATCTGATTTGAAAGTGTAAAGCAAAGACTTACGGGCCAGGCACCACCATCTCTAAGGGTCGGTCACAAGAAATGCAGTGGAAGTGAGCCAGGAGTCTCCTGTTTGAGAACAAAAAAGAAACAACAAATCAGACAGGGGAATGGTTGGAGTAGGAGGTAAAAGATATGTTTGGCAACAACAGGAGCATGCTTCTTTTTTTAAACCAGAAGGCCACAGAGTAGGGGATAAATGCAACCTAGCATGTTTATATCACGCAGAGGCATTTTTAACATACCCATTAAATTGAGTATTTATTTCCACAATAAACAGTTCCACTTTAAAGAAGCCAAGTAAAATAAAACATTCATTGGGCAAGGATTCAGAGTTCTGTTGATGGAAATTCAGGAATGCATAGTGGAAATTCTCACCAGCTATATGTTAAAAATGCCCCCGGGGAGTGTCGAACTCTGAATTTGCTGCAGTATCAGAAACTACAGCATATTCAAAGAGGAGAGGGAGAGACAAAGAAACAGCCAGGGCTGGAACAAGAGCTACATCTGACTAATATTATATTTTATTCAATTAGTTACATTCAGTTAATAAGATTACTTTCCGCGCATTTAATAATTCCCCCCCTTGCCATCTTAAAAAACGCAATAGTAATTTTGAAAGGTGTCGGGGAACCACAGGAAGATCTTAGAGGGAGGATATCTGTATCATAGGCTCAGCCTGGGCACCAGGGGTAAATACATACTATGAGGGAGGATAAAAGATGTCCCCGAATGGATGGCAAAATTTGGCCACTGTACAGGTAGTCCTTCACTTATGACTCTAATGGAGTCTGGTCATTATGTTCATAAGTGATGATGGTTGTAAAGTGAGTCACCATGTGAACGGACTCATTTTTATGACCTTTCTGGCAGTGGTTGTTAAGCAAATACAGCAGTTGTCAATTGTTCCTTAAAGCTTGGTTTTTGCTGACAACTGGAAGTAAACGCTGGTTCCTGGAAAAATTGTCATAAGTCATGATCATGTGACTGTGGGGTGCTGCAAATGACTGTAACTATGGGCAGAATGCCAAGTGCCCAAAACACGATTCCTGTGACCACAAGGGAAAGAGCAATGTCAGAGCTTCAAAATCAGGTCGTAAGTTCCTTTTTGGGGAATGTGGGGGGTGGGGTGGGGTGGGGGTGTCTGTTGTAACTTCAAATATTTGCTAAGCAATAAGTTGAGGACTATCTTATCTCCACAGCCACAGTGAGTTGCAGATAAAACAGCACCATCCAATTACATTTGACTAAGGAGAAATTTCAAAAGGGCTTCATGAATGGAAAGATGACCTGAAATATGATGATAATTTGTTTGTGCTTAGAAAAGGAAAAAGGGAGGGAGAGGGAGAGAATTTGCCTCTCTAAAACAAGGAGGTTTCTCCCCCACCAATTTGGAGAACTCCAGACAGATCTTTATGGGAGAGCTGTGTGGGGTGCTTTCTCCTTCCAGCCCCAAAGGCAGTGAACAAGATCACTAGCTTTCGACCACTTCACTTTCTACATAATATTTGATGCACTCCAAAAACCCTAGTACCAACAATCCGTGGCATTACCAAATATTAAAACTGATAGGGGCACCACAGGTTAAACTGACCACCTCCTCTAGATCTGAGGAAATTGTAGCTGCTCAGATGCTACTGACTAACTCCCAAGTGGTCTCCTAGCATGGCCACTTGGGAAGAATGTGGGAGTTGGAGTTTAGTAACGTCGGGGAGGCCATAGGTTGCCTATCCTAGACTCAGCTCTGAGCTCATTCTTGCTGTTTGGGGAGCAAAGAGATTTCCAAAATAGTCAAACTACATCACTCTTCACCCTCCTGGTGTCCAGCCCCTCAGATTGGATTTCAGCTCCCATCATTCCTCTGGGAGGGCTGGCAAAGTCTAATAATAGACTTCTCACAACTTCATGTGAAAGCAACTGTTCTTGTGGACTTTCAAAGTTTGCTTTGACAAAACAAAGAGTGGTCTTTCCCTCCACACTGCACTGGCTGCACTTAGTCTGTTTTCTTTCCAGGATCCAATCTGGGTCAGTTACTGGGACCAAAGGTTTTGTCTTCCGAGCTTTTGGGCTCATGTTGAAGCCCATCCTCAGGGAACTTTTTTATGACAGAGAGAAGTTCCCTGAGGATGGACTCCAGCATGAGTTCAAAAGCTTGGAAGACAAAACCTCTGATCCCAGTGACTGACCAGGATCGGATGCTGCAACATTATCCTGGGACACATATATATTTGGCCTCATTTGTGTTTCTTTCCTTTTTCCCCTCTGTTTCACTGAAGGCCGCTGCATCCACTGCACTGCTACCTTGCAGGTTCCTTCCAAGGAAATAAGATCGCTATGGTGACCTTCCTATCCCAAACATGACACACTTTCATCTAATTCCTCATGACATATCAGGGCTGGGATGTGGGACCCTGAATCGGGAACTGGCATTGTCCCCAATGCTGAGTGAGACAAATCCGAGCGGAAGACTTGCCAAGCCTCTTTTTTCTCTGAAAAGTATCCTCAACAGAAGCACCCCCCCACCCCAAAAATCCAAGGAAAACATGCTTCTTGGCAGCCAGCGCCTCCCACCATGTTAGCATCTTATTTCTTCAAGCCTTTACATATAATCACTCTCTAATTTAATTAAAGGATTTTTAAAGCAAGACACCAGGACAGGCAGGACAACTCCTGGGGTGCCACGATAGCTAGACAAAGAGATTCTGCTGCATTTTATACAATGGACACTTTTCATAGGAGTGCTTGGTGCATTTTATCATCTAACAGTATGTAGCAGGAATTGCTGATCTGTACTGCTAAAGTAATCACATTCATAGCAGCTTCCCCCTCCTCTCCCTTGTCAATAAGCCATGCCAGTGGGTCAACACACAAAGTACAAGTGCCCTCTGGTGGTGCACTGGAGTGGCTGCAGTTTGCCATTCTAAAGGAAAGGACTGCTGGTAATCCTCAACTTATGACCACAATAGGGACCAAAACTAAACTGGTTGCTAAAGCAATGCGGTTGTTAAATGAGTCACGCTCAATTTTACAATCTTTTTGCTGTGGTCATTAAGAAACTCTGGCTTCCCTCATTGTCTTTGCTTGACTGAGATGATCGCAAACGGCCATCACATAAACCCAGGATGCTTGCAATCTTCATAAATTTATAAATATATAGCAGCTGCCAAGCATCTGAATTTTGATCATGTGACTGAAGGCACACTGTAACGGTCAGTAAGTGTAAGGACCAATCATAAGTTGCTTTTTTCAGTGTCTTTGTAACATTGAATGGTTTTTAAAAGAATGGTCCTAAGTCAAAGATTACCTGTATTGACAAGGTGAAGGTCTGGGAAAGCAAGTAAGAGTTCAGATAAGTGCTCAGTAGCTCCATGTTTGAGGGTAACATGTGTCCAGCTGTCATGTTTGTTAGTAAAGAAAAATATATTCTTTTTCAAATAAAGCTCAATTCCTGATTATGTGGACATATCCCTGCAGTTTTTCTTGACCACCGAATGAAAGATGGTTGCCTCTATTTTGTTCTAGGATGGTTTTTCCACTTCCAAAACTTACCTATAATCCTGAGGTTTCCTAATGGCATCAAATTCCAAACACTAACACCGCTCCCCCAAACTGGTGCTTTTTTGGAGGGAGGGAGGGAGGCATAAAAACTGCTATGTTCATGGCAGTGACTTGGAAACATTTACATTTTCTACAAAAGCTCTATTTTTGTTGTTGGACTGGGGTGGAGATGGGGAGCTTCCTTTACGTGGTATCAGGGATTACAGGCTGCGTGCAAAGACCCACATATGCATTTTATCTTCTTATTTTTAACCGTACCACAAGTGTAGGATAGGAAGTCAAGGCTGACAGCTGTTGCCACTGAACATCTGCCCATTCTTAAACTGGGCTTTCTTAATGCTACAGCTGTCTTTCTCTAGCCTCTCTTACCTTCTGATCCCTGCAGCATCGTCGCCTTCATCTTGTGGAACCCTTTGCTTCAACTGTTTCCGGATATCTTTCCAACGATCCTCCAGCTGCTGCCTGAATGGATCCAGTTCCAAGCGGTCCAGCTATTCAGAAAAAAAATTCAGGGATTCTGGGGCTTAAGGCACTGAGACCAAAGCTGGATTAACTGTCACATCATGTGCAATACAGACTCACAGGGGCCTATTCAGGAGAATCTAAACAGTAATGTGGGCCATTTCTCTTTCCTGAAATATGTACCTATAGGTACTTATCAACTCGTATGAGGCAATAATATTTTTGCTTTTAAGGAGTTAATAGTACTGGAGACTTGTTGAATATGCGCAGGAAGAGTTTTACTTCCAGTGCAGGGGCAAAGTTCAAGCAGAGAGTAGAAGGTTTGAAGAAATATGCAACTGAGTTGGAAAAAGAATAAAACTATAATGAGACTCGATCTCCATCTTGGAAGGCTGGAATATCTGAAATTCCTCAGCTTTGGGAAAAGGACAGCAATAAAGAAACATGGTTGAGACACAGAGAATCAAACACAGCCTACAGAAAGTGGAGAAGGAAAGCTTTTTCTCCTCATCTTACTCTTTTTCTGCTCTTTGCATAACTTTCTTATTCTGAAAGTGAAATTCTGATACTTGGCAACTGACTCATATTTATGATGGTTGCAATGTGCTGGGGTCATGTCATCACTTTTTGTGGCCTTCTGACAAGCCAAGTCAATGGGGAAGCCAGATTCATTTAATAACTGTGTTGCTAGCTTAACAACTGCAATGATTCACTTAACAACTGTGGTAAGAAAAGTCATAAAATGGGGCAAAACCCACTTAACAGCTGTCTCAGTGAGAAACAGAAATTTTAGGCTCAATTGTGGTCATAAGTCAAGAACTACCTACATTTGTGTATGCATACAAAATATTGGGACCAGAAGTTATTCCATCAAACTGATTAGAAGCTGGTGGAAAATAGAGGTAGTCCTTAGGTTACAATCCAATTTTTATCCAATCATTCAAAGTTACAATGACACTGAACAAGGGAGATTTACAAAACTTCTTAGAATTCCAGATATTGCAGCAAGCTGAGGTCACATGATTGCATTTCCTGCCAGCTTCCCATAAGAAAAGTCCAATTGGGAAACTGGCAGAAAGTCAGAAGTTGGGATTACACATGAGATCCTCACTTAATGAGCCATGTAATCCTTGTTTAACAAGAGGAACCAGAATTGCTGTTAACTGCTGTGGTTATGTGACATGGTCACATGACAACTGCACTGCTTAACAACAGCCCCAGTTCCAATTATCGTTGTAGTCTAGGACTACTTATAGACAGAAGGTAACTCTTCACAGATAACATAATTTACCAATGGAATTGATTACCATTAACTTATTCTCATTGAAACCACTAGGATATATTTTGCACATGTTAGGAAGTACATGGAAAGGGAATAAAGCAAAGTATTTCATTCCTTTTTTGCACATAGGATAGGTTACCACAAGACTGGGACCTTAAGGCAGACACACTGATTTTTATTTCAACATTGCCAAGCTTGTGGAACAGAAGATGGTTGTAGATCTTCTTCAAATCTCTCTTAAGGGACTAGGCAGTGAAAACAGCAGTGATGTCAAAAAGCCCACAGGCAAATATAAGAGGTCTGGGAGCTAATGTAGGCATTAGGTCTTGGCAATCACTATTCCCTAATAGAGGACAAGCTAGCTCCTGGGCTGTAGAATCTGGCATCTGGTGAAGCACTTATGGAGTGGGTTAAAATCAAAAGCAGGAAGACTTCAAACACATTCAGCAAACAGAAAGGAGGACATCTGCTGTTCTGCTGGCACCCTGTTCTTCGTATTGTGTGGCAATACAAATCTGGTGCTGTTCTCTCTATAGGCTTGGTTCTTTAAAGAACATTCCCTCTGCTGGTGTCATGTCAGCAGGCAGATAAAACAATGTAACGTGGATTTTTTTTCCTATCATAAAAATCAGCAGGCAGCCATTGCCATATATATTTTATATACTTGAAAGACTTATGCACGATTTAAAAAGGAAAAAAGATAATGAATGAATAGCTAAAAGCAAAGATGTTTCTCAAATATATAAAAGTACAGAAAGATATAATGAATGCTCTTGGTGTAAAATGCCTTTAAGTAGTCCACTTTTACTTTTCTCTTGTTTCCTGCCTTTAGTAACACTGCCTAACTCCCAACACAATAGCATAATGGATATGTGTGTGTTCATTTGCATGATTAGGACATGTAATATTAGCCCACAAACAGTTATTTGGGCTTCTATTTAGGGCCCACACACAGAAATAAAGGTGTCGGACTAAACTTTTGTCAGCAAATGGTTACAGGAAGGATTTATCTAACAAGTTAAACAAGCTTTCCTGAACTGGGAGAATCCTTATCTAATGTTCTGCTATCATCTGCTATTTTCTTGTGCACATACCAGTATGTGGGAAGCTATATTCCTTAACATCGGTTATGTCAGACCTTTAAATTTATCAAATCTGGATCTCATTCATTTTCATACTTTTCTGCTGTGTCAGTCGTGGATTTCTGATCTTTTTCAGGAAAACTTTCTTAGAAGTGGACCAGGTATTTATTATACATTTCTTCCTTGAGGCTTGTGGATATAAAACTGAAGAAGTTAACTATTGGGTGACAGGACTCCAACAAATGCAGCCAATACTAAAATGCATCATTCATTTCCCCCTTGACCCTGGTCTTCTCCCCACCCCCTGGCTGTGTATTCTCCAATGGGACACATCCATCCCAAAGAGTCATCAATCATGCTCTCCGATAATATCCTTGCGCTCCAACAACTTTTGACTGCCAGGGTGATTATCTAGGCACCTAAGGAATGCACTGTTTTTCCCCACTCCCTGTTTCTGGCAGCTAAAAATACCAAAGGAGTATCTTTTTAGTTGACATTGGGCTTTGTTTAGGTCCTTAGTCTGACTTGCATAAGTGGAGATTTATCATTGGTATGATTTTTCCTCACTCCATTTTCAAGTAATGCTTTCACTGCTTCACAGGCTGAAGCTGATCTCATTTATTTTAAGAAAAGAGTACAGCACTGTCCAAAAGAAGACACCTTGATTGGCATTAAACATCACTAGAGATAAGTGAATAGGAATTATTGCAATCCTCTGCAACAGTTCCTTGGGTAGATTATGTCACCTGGAAACAGTTGCTCCTTGAAACAAGTGTCTCTCAGGACTCCATTCTGCTTGCAGTACTCTTATCAATATGAATTTGCCAGGGGAGATAATCAGGAAATCTGGAGCTGGGTGCTATAACTAGGCTGATAATGTCCCCTTTTTCCGAAACATCTTTAGACTTCCTTGTGTCCGTGCTTGTAGTTGATAATGGCTGGATAATGGACAATAATAAACTGAAACTGGGTCCAGAGTTACAGGTTCAGAGAGGTGGTAGAACCACCTTAGTTTTCTAGACTGAGGCAATAACCAATAGCACCTTTCATTAGCTTTGGATGATGTAACAATTTTGGTTGATACACCAAATTCATCCTTAAAATGACACATATTAACATCCAAGTTTGATCCCTGTGACGAACTGTGTGGGTGGCTGCTTTTGTAACTATCCTAGAAACTTCAACTGGTTCAGCACTCACCAGCCAAATCTGTCGGGAAGACCCACATTATACCTATGATAAAGACACTGGACTACCAATTTGCATGAAGGGGTGAAGCATGAAGGGGTATATTATTATCTTATTATCTTTAAACCGGTATATGATTCAGTTCCAGCCTCTCTGAGGAAACACCTCTACAAGATTCCCCAGCCCTACCCACTCCTAGAGATTATTTTGGAAGTTCATCTTCAATTGCTGTAGCTGAGGTCAAGTCTTCTCTCTAGCCCCTCCATTCTCTGGAACACATTCCCTGCTGGGTTATGGGACCTAACAGCTTTGCTTCCTTTCAAAAACAGCCTAAATACACCCTGTAAATTGCTTTTAATTGTTATTGCTAGCTTTTCCCACTCTCTTGAATTTTAATTTCAATGTTACATATAAACTACCAAGGGACTTTGGTAGTTGGCAGTACAATAAGTTTAATTAATTAATACATGAACAATAAATATGTGGTTGATTTGTTTCTATATAGTTTGTTCATACCACAGGGGGTTCTTAATTCTTTTACTTTTTTTAGATTGTGATTTTATTACATTTTTGCTCCTGTGCTCTGCATTTCTTTATATTGTTTGTTTATGCTGGGATCATATTTTCTGCAAGAAAGCCTTCTCCTACAAGAAGTAGAGGGAAAGGCTGATAGAATTAGCTCCAAGAATATTCCATGCAAGGCATGGAAAACAGTAGCGGAATTGTTCCTATAAAGCCATTATTTTTATTTTACTGTTCCTGCCTTTCTATTATCCATGCTCCAAGTAGTTTATGATAGAAAAATTTTCAAAGAAGCCTCATAAATAGTAATAAAATTAACACTTTCTTATTATTATTTTTGATCAGCAATAGGAGCGGAAGAAAGAATAAAAAATAACAATGTAAATGAAGCAAAAGACAGGAAAATAATAATCCTGATTTGTTGCCTACACATTAAAAGCATTGAGATCTCCCTGCAGAGGCATCTTTGCCACCAGAGAAAAGGATCTATTTCCCCCCCCCCCCCTTCCTTGTCATAGCTCATATGGCAGGGGTAGCTGAATAATTGGAGGAAACAAGAGGGCTCATAATTTTCATCTCAGTTTGTTGACAACCTCGTTCAACTTCCCAATCTCTCGTGGCAGTGAAGCCAAATCCTCAAATTCCCAGCCAGAGATGTTAATTCCCAGTGCATCTGGGAAACACCAGCTTGGGGAAGAGATGTGCGTGTTAGTGTCCTTTAGAACAAAAACAGAATTTTCACTGTGTCCAAAAACAAGCTAGAAGTCAGAATGCAGACATAATGTGCTTCATGTTCACCTGGTTATAGGGGAAAACACAAGTGATGTATTCTACCATCTATACATGCTCCTGGCCAAGGAGAAAAGGACCAACATTTCTGTAAGGTGTTTTACAGCCTCACTGCACACCACAATACAGACCACTAGCACAAGTAGTTCTCCTGCTGATGGGACTGCAAATGGCTACGAAGGATACATCTTGCTTACCTTGGAGTCCATTTCAATCAAGAGTTTGTCAAGCATTTTCTGCCAGTCTTGCTCTTGCCCAACCATCTTATTTAGCAGTTCCTGCATCATCTTATGTAGCTGTTCTGTGGTGGCATCAAACTGGGTGCGACTGACCTTTGCCGCAAGGGCAGTCTTATCTGCTTTCTGAAAATGAAAAGAAAAGAGAGATAGATCTTTGGTCTCACTGATATCTGTGGAGATCTCCCTCTTTTGCCCTCCAAAGCCACAAATTACATGAAAGTCCAAAATAGCACTACTCCTACCTGACCCAATCTCAAAAGATGGTAAATACAAGTAGTCCTCAGCTAATAACCGCTCATTCAATAACCATTCAAAGTTATGATAGCGCTGAAAGAGAAGTGGTTACGCCTAGGCTCTCCCAGCAACCCCATGAACAGGGGATCGCAATCTGGGTACTTGGTAATCAGCTCACCCTTACGACAGTTACAACATGATTTATGACCTTCCCTGCCCGCTTCCCATGAGCAAAGGCAATGGGGAAGCCAAAAGTGAAGGTCACGAATTGCTTGGGCAAATCTTCCTCACTTGGATACCTTTCCTGATCCTTGCTGCACCCGCATACCTTCCCAGCCATTCATACACCCTTGTATACCCTCTCCTACCCAGCAGCAGTCATTCCAGCCCTGTTATATCTGCGCTGCACCTCTCTGGCCATCCGTGCATCCCTCATTCCCTCTCCCACTCAGCAGCCACTCCAAGCCCAGCTATGCTCATGCTTCTCCTTCCCACCATTCATATGCCTTTGTGCATCCTCTCTACCCAGCCACAGCCATCCCAAATTCTGCCATGCTCATGCCACGCCACCCATTAACGCATCCTCACAAACTGTCTCCTACCCAGCAGCAATCACCCCAAGCCCACCGCACTTCTGCTGCACTTCCCTGGCCACTCCTGTCTTTCCTTCCAACCAACCCAGTAGCAGCCATTTACATGCCTGCCAACCTGCTTGCAAAGTCACCTAAAACTTGCAACCTCCTGCCAGCTTCCTCACTGACTTCGGCAGAAAGTTGTGAGGAGATGCTTGCTTAACGATTCATGATCCTTGCTTAACAGCAGCAACTGGGACTGCAGGGATTACCATCACTAAGTGATGCAGTCACATAACGCTGCACTGTACATCTGCATCACTTAGGAATGGAAATACCAGTTGCCATCGTAACTCAAGGATTTATCAGGATAGCCATTCAAAACAGAGAGTAAGCTTGCTGTTCGTGACTGCCCCACAGGCTCCTTTGTAAATAAAACTTTCTCAAGAGTATCTATTCATGGTTCCCCAAGGATTCTATATCCATTGTTTGTCAGTAAATCAAACTGCTTACCACATGGATTTCCGTCTCTAGGCAATCTTTGTCAACTTTTTCATTTTCTAGTTTCTCCAGTGATTTGTACAGTGCCTTTAAGAGAACACAAAGCAAAACAAAATGACATTGTTACCAAAACAAAAACTCCAGTTCCTGTTAAGTTTATCATCGCCAGTATCTTTACAAATAATATGTAAACAGATCTTCCCTATTTCTGTAGGCCTAGATGTTGCCTATATTCTACCACGTAAAAGAGATACATTAACATCTGATGGTTAATGCAAGGGAGACATCCCTGTTGCTTATGGAAGTGGGCTTGCCATTTTCTTCTTCCAGGATGTTTTTTCAACTTCCTAGTCTTGTCTCCTAGTTTGTGCTGCCCCATTCCCCTCCCCCATGCACATACAGCAAGAGTCTACAGCTGTTTATTCCACACACACATCCCAAATAGGTCCTCGGAATCTACCCCTGTTGCACAGCTCCAAATTTTGAGTTCAGCACGGCTAGAATCTCTGAGTAACCGAGTCCAATGGGCACACAAGAAGTTCAGGAAAGCAGTCCATGAGTTGAATGAGTCAGGATATATGGCATGAGAACACAAGGCACAGAAATAGGCACATTGCTGCAAGAACACTCAAGTCCTCGGGATGGGATTAAGTAGGCAACACCAGTGCAGCCCTTCATAAGAGGTAAGGTTGCCTTCTCATGACTAGTCTTGCTGACCAGTGTTGTGCCTATCTCCTCTCTGCTCTACATGTCCTTGGATCAGGAGGAGGTGGGGACTCCACTTCCTCCTCATTGCTAGTGGTGGCAACTGCTCCCAATCCTTGCCTGGAGCTGCCTGGCCATCTTGCTACAACTGTGGCTCGTCTTGCTCAGCCTTACCCTGTGGCTTATCCAATTGACCCAGCTGAAGCTGCTCCATTAGGCTAGCACTCCCCGAGCCCCAATCCTGACCACTACTTGCCTCTGTGCTTGCCTCTGCTGACTCAAACTCACCCTCTTCCTCTGAACTTGTGTCTGGAGAGGGATCCAGGGGCAGATCCATAACATAATTTTAAAATCCTCTCTTGGTTCCCTATCCAAATAGTAAGCAGGTCCGGCTTTTCTCCAGGTACTCAAGATGTAGCCAGAATGGTTTCAGGATGCCCAACAGTTTATATCTTTCCTATTCTATTAGTAGTTATAGTGTACACTAATTTTAAAAGGGCTCTGTTTAGCCAGTGATATCACTGAACTAAACAACATTCATGTGATTCTGGTGTCATCAGGTCATGACCCCTACTGGATATGACATGTTTAATCTAATCCCATCAAAAAGAAAAAAAAAGCTGCTAGTCAAGTCTAGAGTGAATGATTAACTTAACCCTAGCTCTAATCCTATATGGATTCAAATCAAAACTATCTTCTGTTATGTTGTGTGTAATGTTATAAAACAAGATATTCTCTCTGTCCTTCTGTCCTTTCAGTCAAAAAATAATTCCACTGAACCATTTCAATCATAGATTTAAGCAGATCAGTCCCTTAAGTTGGCATTGACATAGATTGTCTCTAATTGCTGGTAGCAAAGGCAAACCCACAACAATAGTATTTGTCCTGACAGTTTTATTTGTGGCATTTGACACTTTTCACCACAAAAGTTTAATATCTACTTCGACTTCATGGAACCTCAATTGGGCACTTAGTCTTATATTTCCCATCACATTTTTCTGTTATTTTGTCTTGGGTTTTCAATCCTTTCCTTTATCAGTGAGTGCCCCTCAGAGTGTGGTCCTAGGCCCAGTTTTGTTCAATTCTGATACTTTGTTTTTGTTTCTTCTTTACTGTTTAGCTATCGTATCTCTGCTGATGACATCCAGGTGTATTCCTCAACCCCAGTCTTGGGGTGGACAATCTATTGTGGTCTTGCCTCTCCAAGTGCTTGAAATGTCCAGCTGGATGTGTTCTCAGCAGCCTAAATTAAATTTGGACATTTGAGCCTATTGTTTTTTTCACCCTGATCATCCTTTCTTCTGCCTTTCACTTTCTGAGACTGCCAGGTACTGATGTTTCTGATGATATATAAGATCTGGACTTCTTAGCTATGTTTCATCAATACAATTACAAAATCTTGTCTCTTTCACCTTATGAGTATCCAGAATTCCATCGATTTTTTTCCTAATTTGCGACATGCCTTGGTGGTGTCTCATTTGAATAATTGCAACAGCTTTTTGGCTGATCTTTCCAAATCTACTCTCTGCCCTTTGGTTCAGGTCCAAAATAAGACAGCCCACGTAGTCCTGGACCTCCCTGGAGTCACCTTTATTTCTTCCTTCCACCAATATTTACATTGGCTAGGTCTTCAGAAGCATTAAAAGTTTAAACAGCTGGTGCAGATTTTCCAGGCTGTGTGTGTAGGAACACCTACTTATTTGAAGAACTTGGTAACAATTCTTGCTTCTGTGTGCTTAGTTCAACTGTGCAATCAGGGGCGCTTAGTTTTTCCTCAGGTCAGAGGAGTTGTTTCACATCTAGCTCCTACTCTTTGGTTTTGACTCCCCCTTAAACTATGTTTGGCTTTCAGTTTCCTTAGATTTAAAATGCTTATTTTCTTTCAGTGGCTCAATATTCAATACTGATTTCAATTGTAGTAGCCTTGGGATTAGATGTTTTAATAATTGTTGTCTTTTTATTTTAGTTTATATCATTGCTTACTTATACTGCTTATACTGAACTTAAATACTAGCCACATGTATATAAGAATCTTATTTTTCTGCAACAAAAACAAAGCTACAAAGAGAGAAGAATTTCATGCCTTAATATTTACATCTAAATATATACTATTAAAACTCTCATCCCATGATCATTAACTGGGTGAAATAGCGCATCGTAGGGCAACAATTTTTGAACCAAGATACCTCAAATGGGTTAATTTACAGAATAAGTTAAATCTGTGACTCATGATTCCCATGGAATTGAACTTTGGCAAATTCTTATAAAACATTTCCTGACATTAAAATTATCATAAAACAGTATATGACATACTACAAAATTTCACAGGACATTTCCTTTGCTGATGTTTGACAATGTCATATAGTTCAGCACGGGTTATTTTCAAGGCAGGTACATCTTTTAATGTATCTCAACTTTTCTAGTGAAGGCAGTACATTAGTTCTGTTGTTAAAGACACTGAAGAATCTGATAAGGAAATATTTCTGAAAAGATGACCCAATAGGTCACAGGTTGTGTACTATACAACAAAAATTCTTATGTCTGATTATTTACAAACATTATTTGGGCAAAATTGTCATAAGGCAACAGTTTTTTAATCATTGTATTTGAAATGGGTTTAATTAAAAAATGCATCCAAAATCCAGAACCCATGATTCCCATGGGACTGAAATTTGGCAAACTGGTAGTGACTTCAGTGCACACACACTGCTATGCTATCATGCATCCACGGTCAACTCTGGTCATGTGATCATCCTTTCCAATGTTACTTGCCAACTCCCTACAAGGAAAGTTAACTGCTTGTGGTTACAGGTAGTCATTGACTTACAAAAGTTCATTTAGTGACTGTTTGAAGTTATGATGGCACTGAAAAAAGTGACTTACAACCATTTTTCACACTTGCGACCATTACAACATCCCCATGCTTATATGATTAAAAGTCAGATGCTTGACAACTGACTGATATTTACGACAATTGCAGTATCCCAGAATCATGTGATCACTTTTTGTGACGTTCTGATAAGCAATGGGAAAGCCAGATTCACTTAACAATTCGTGTTACTAACAACTACAATGATTCACTGAACAACTATGGCAAGAAAGGTTAGAAAATGAGGCAAAACTCACTTAACCAATGTTTCACCAAGCAAAAGAAATTTTGTGGTCAAAAGTCAAGGATTACCTATATTCTGTTTCTCTGTTTAGGTAAGGAAATATCTCTAAAACAATGACCCTATGGGCCACGGGTTATCTACTATTCCTTCTTTCTGGGCTATTCTGGTTAATAGCTTCTTCAAGCTTCGTTATACCATCTTCAGCAAGGACAACAATCCTGATCAAAAGTAGAACTGATATCCATTACACTCCAAACAGTTTCCAAGAACTTCTTGTCATTTTTCTGATCCCACCTGCTAACTTTAGACTCAAAATTACATACACTGATCTCTTTTTGTTTCTGGTGATGATCTTCAACAAGATTGCCAGTAGTGGCATTCAGCTTCTCACAATCTTCTTGGACTTGCAGGATAGTACTCTGGATTTGGTTGAGCACTTCTTCATCCTGATTGGAAAAAAAGCGTGAATACCAAAGTTAACAAGAAAAAAGTGAGTCTTATTAACCCTCCTGTTCTATTTTTCAGAGTTCAAGCTGTTGCCTTTGGGCAACTTGGAGTAAATAATGAAAGTTTGATCCACCTTTTCATGACAAATAGGGAAACCTGCAAAGAAAGTTTGCTTCAAAAATCAGGATATATTTTATTTGAATATAATAAAATAAACTCAAGATATATGTGGAATAATATAAACGGATCTTTATTCTATAACAGGGACAAGCATTGTCTACAACCTGGGCCCGGCTTACTTGTACTCATGATAATTGCTGTTATATATATTCTGACTTCCCATTAAAATGTTGGAAGAAACAAAATGGGAATATTCTTGACATAGTAATGGAAGATAGATTCATATCTAGGACACTGACATGCTCTTTGGGTACTACTTATTCTCACAACTTTTAGGCTTAGATTTATATGTGGCAACCTAAAAATCACATCAGTCTGAAACTGAGAAAAATGCTCTGCCAACAACCAAGTTCAAGAAGTACATAAAAGTATTATGTCAGACTGGGGTCCCTGCACTCAACCTTCAAGGCACCCTTGGAAGAGTATCTAAGAATAAGAGAGTAAAATAAAAGTTCACCAAAAAAATCAAACAAAACAAAGCCCCTAGGACCTTGGAAACTGGCCATTTGAACAGACTTGTCTGCATATAGTTCTAAAAGATTGATATTCTTTCAGAACAAAACCAGAAATATTGCATGAGGTTGAACTTTGTGCCATAATTTCTTCAGCTATTTTAAATTAAAGATAAAATAGCAGACAAATCAATGGAACAAGAGCAAAGCAAAGCATGACAGGCTTACTAATGGAGTGTTATATGAGATAGGCTGCAATTCTGAATATCAACAATCTTACTGAACTTCATGACGTAGCATAAGGTTTAAGATAAAGCTGCCATGGACATGGGGCTGCATGAAGCAAAGTTTGGATTCTTATTTTAAAAAATTGAAATTGTGTAAAAGTATTCAGTTTAATCAGGAAGGCAACAATATACTTGAACCCTAGAAATGATTCTTAAAAAGCAATTTTGGGAAGTTGGGAACTTGCTAGTTTCAGTGGGCAAAATATTAAAACCTCCTGAAACAATCATTAGGCAGAGTATGATATTTATAGTTCCTGTTTCCAAAACTACCAAGGTAATTTCTGTATCAACAATATTGCACTTGTTGTGCTGTTATCATTAAGTACGAAGTATGTTTATGTCCTTCCATTTCCCCACACAAAAAAAACATGCAACATGTTGAACGTGTGACTGCTTGAAAAAACCTCAAAGGGAGAAAGTACTTAGAAAGCCTCGCTAATACTGCCATGGCTGAGATTTATTAAGAAATCATTGTTTTAAAAAGTTAGCTTAGCATGATGTATGGACCAAGTCAGTAAATAACGTGATCTTAAAGGAATATGAATCTGCAAAACAGTTCCCTCCCCACTTTTATCATCAGGGTAAAAGGTTCTGATAAAGCTCAGAGGGAGAGACTATGTTCTGCGTACAAAAGCTCCCAGATTCAGTTCCTGGCTTCTCTGGGAACAGCTGGCAAATACCTATATCTGGCACTCTTAGAAAACACCAGGCAATACTGAGCTAGACAGATTATCCATACCTTTACAAAGTTCCAACAGATTAGGCCTCCCTATCCAAACTGTGTTCCAAAGCATATCCGTTCTTGTCCATCTTGCAGAGGACTACCATGTTCTTAGCTTTAATTTATTAAATTTCCACACCACCCATCTCACCTGAGCGGGCAGTTTACAAAGCTATCCAGTTGAAAACTGAAAAGAAGAGGAGTGTGAGCCATCTTCTTTCTGGCCTTACCTGGCGTTGCTTGGGTTTCCTCGTTTTGCTTTCTGCCTGCCTCAACATGAAGTTGTTGACTGAGTCCTGCAGCTGCTCGTACCGCTTGAACAACTGGCTAACCTTCTCACTGACATCTAAGCTGCAGGCTGCACACGTGCTTTGGACTTGAGCTGCACCAGACTCTGGGATGGGTGGCATACTCATGGACAGCAAGGTTGACGAGGAGGACATCATGTTTTCTATGACAGATCTAAGCTTGTCTAACTGTGAGCAAGTGAGAAAAGCAGGAGTTTGGTTTCTTGAAAAGGAAATCCTGGTTTTCATCTCTAACATATAGTGGTGACAGGAACAAGCTGTTTAAATTTGTTGGGCTGAATCAGTATTCCTTGGCTTGGTGACTTTATTTTGGTTGGGTTTGTAATGACCAGAGTCCACAGACTCGGGACATGCACAATAGGAGATTTTTCATGGGGGTGGATGGGAAGGCGGAAGGAGTTCCAACATTGTTAGTTCCAGGACACCAGATTGGAGGATACCATATATGCATCTGATCCATTAAGGCAAAGCTAAGATATATCTAAAATATATATAAAGCTAAAATAACCTTGTAATGGTAGAATTCAGGTGCATTATAATAATGGTGAATCATTTTAAAGGTTTCTAGAACTTCCCTGAAACTAAATCCCAACTCCAAAAGGCAGCTTCCACTGATGTTAATGAGAGTGTCCCACAAATATTTTGTCCATGGGAGTAACAGGGAATAATAGAAAGAGCTTTGGGGAGTGATTTAGGATTTAGTGCAGGGAAGAAAAGGTCTGCTGCTGCTGAAAATCCACCCCCTTCCACTGCAACAATGTGGAACCTGAGCAAAAAGAGTTTTGAGGGCAGCTAGAAAGACCTTCCAGTGGAGCAAGGTTTTACTCTCTTTAATAGGTCTTCTCCCATAGGCATTTGCAGCCAGCCATGATGACACCAAATGAGGAAAGATGTATTATGGTATTATAAAGTAAGCAATTTTTCCATTATATTAGTGGTGGGGGAGGGGGAAATGGGTGTTCCCCAACAGATTGAACTGAATATCTAAAGCAGGGGTGTCCAACCTTGGCAATTTTAAGACTTGTGGACTTCAACTCCCAGAGTTCCTCAGCCAGCTTTGCTGGCTGAGGAACTCTGGGAGTTGAAATCCACAAGTCTTAAAGTTGCCAAGGTTGGACACCCCTGATCTAAAGGATAGCCTCAACTTGGCACTCTCCAGATAGGCTGGATAACAATGTTCACTTCCCTTGAGGACAAGATTAATGGGAGTCATAGGCTACACCATAGGTTCTCTGTGGACCCCTGGGGGGCTGAAATGTTGTCACAGGGTGTCAACAAAGGCTTGAAGAAATGTTGTGTCTAGTGGTCCGTGGCTTCAAAGGGTATTTAAAGAGGGCAGTGAAGAAAAGGTTGAGAATCACTGGCTTAAACATTTAATCAACTAGGAGCTAAAGATTATCCTCCTGCTAATAGCTGCAGATCAAAAGCTCGTTTAAGGAATAACTCCATGGGTATGGCTCTAAATCAAGAAATAAAGGCTCTGCAAGGCAACAAAGGGCAGACTAGTTGGGCAGGAACAACCACAATACTCTAGCCAGATGTTTCTTTTTGAAGCAGAAAAAGAGGCAAGGACCCGTATGAAAACTTTTATTCTTGAATCCTGTAAAGTTAGATGCCAGCCCAGAGATTAAAGGAGGGAAAGCTGTGACAATTTCTTTAAACTATTATAAAAATAAAATTCCCCCTTTGCTGAACCTTCCCACAATTTGCCTATTTCCGTCAGTTGTCATTTGCAACCTCCTAATAGTACAAATTACAAACTCATGGAGGGCTCCAGATTCTAGAAGCTGATTCTTAGTCACATCTCTCAATAAAGAAAGTTAGAAGCTACCCATAATGTAATGAGATCTTGGACACGTTGAAGACAAGCTGAAAAAAGTGAATCTGGTGAATTAATCACCAGGAAAGTATCATTTATTCCTATATTTTGTTACTATTAGTTAATTGTTACTTGCAAGATGAATACTGAGCTGAAAATCATTGTTCCTGAAATAGAGGCAGCTTTGCTTCATTCAGGTCTTATTTAGAATTGCTTGAATTTGTGCCATCCATTCATTTTCCATTGGAAAACCATCTCTGCAAACCCCATCAAATTAGGAAAAATTCCAGGGGCTGTTGATGGCCAGGAATAAGGGGAGATAAGACCACAGCACTGTAATGTTTTTTTTCAAACTGTGTAGTTACTCCTACACATTTCAGACATTTAACTTCCCAAACAGAACTTGATTTAAATCTCTGGGTATGGCCAGGCAGTGCATACAAGTCAATTACTAAGTTAGGTATTCAAGAAGCTAGTAACCCTGAAAACTGACCATGGTGCCTACATAAAAGTAAAGCAAGAGATGAAACATCAAACTTGGTAAAGCCTTGGTTTTTAAAACTTGGATTGGCTCTCAAGCCTGATTTTTTTTTGTTTACTTCACCTCCTGCTTATATTTCAAAAGCTTCTCACTGTGAATGTGTGGACAACATTGTGACTTTTGTCCACACTCCTGACTCATTTATTATCTTGCAAGTTCAACATTCTGGTCACTAGCTAGAAAAGTCATCAACCAATTCAACACATTTTTATTAACAAAGGATTTGTCCACAATGCTTAGGAATAAATATAAATTCTAGAGAGGACACGGCAATCTTACACACACACACACACACACACACACACACACACACCATGTTTTCCCCCGTTACTTGGGTTCTCTGTTGTTTTTGTTGTTTAGATTAGCTAAAGACATTCTGTTGTTTAGATTAGCTAAAGACATTTGCTAACCTGCTCCTGGAGGTAATAGGCATTGTCGGTCATCGACTGCTCCAATTTGGCTTTCCCTGCATCTTGCTTCTGTCTCAGCTCCTTTAGCTCTTTCTCTATATCATGTACCATTGCTCTGCACCACAAAACCAATAAAAAAGAAGTGTCACTCAGCAAATAAAAAAAAAATTGGAGTAGATATCATACATATGTGTGCTTTATCCGCTATAGAAACTAATACACGGTTTCCAAATATAATCCTGAAGCAAGGGTAGATCAGCAAATTTGGCTTGTTTATCCCCTTCTCTTGAAGTTCCCTGCAAATAGGATGGAGGTGTCCTTAAGGGTTTAGCAATGTCCACCTGGAAATACAAAATTCTTTCTATAAAACGGTGAGGGCAAATGAGCAGGGCAAATCATCTGCAGGTTAGAAACTGGATTAAATAGTAACTCCGCAGGCTTCGAGTCAGAAACCCTTCTTGGTTTTTTTTTAATCTTTTGCTTCTACAACTATACCACAGGAATCAATTCCCCATAGCAAAACATCCCACTACTGTAATAAGCACCTGGCCACAAGAGCCACATGGTACGAGCTGACCGCCACAGTTCTTCCCATTTGGGGGCCAAGGGAGAGGGAGTTATTGCTCATGTCATAACTACCTGTGATAACAGATATTGTGTAACCAGATCTTTATGCTGAAACTTCTTGATAAAATGCATGATTTTTAATAAAAGCATTTTTGCATTTACCTGATATATGCCACCCAATGAAGTCAAAATTGCATAATAACATGACACTTTTTTGCTCAGTTAAATGTTGTTCTGAAAATGGAAGTGAGCAACATCCATAAATTTCATAATCTAGGTTTAGGACTTCAATTCAGAAAGAGTACTAACCAGGGAAATCAGCTCCTTGCTGTTACTGGAAGAAAAACTCCCTTGCTGATCTCAGCTAAATTCCAGACCTGGCTCCAATTCCCTCCTCTCTAACAGATAACTTACTTACTTTCTTTTTTTTTTTTCAGGTGGAAGCCCTTATAAAATGTGCCTTTAAATGAGAAAGAGCTCAGTTGCAATAGTTGGCTTCACACATCAAAATAGATCACTGTCCTTGTTTGTGTTTTAACATGCTATCAACCAAACCAACTAAAGCTTACTCAGTAGGCCATGGTTATTTATTTATTTATTAGATCAATGTACCACTCTTATTTTGTAGAAATTAATGTTCCCTTCTACTATTTTTCCTTAATATCCAGTTGGTTTCCATGCCTAAGCCAGGACTAGAACTCCTAATCTCCTATATTCTAGCACAACACTTTAATCAGAAAGCCTATTTGTATTACAACAAAAGCACAGACCAGTAACAGATTAAAATCCATGTTCACACTCTGCAAGGTATATTAACAGTTTTGTAACTAACTTGCTATATTTGGTCTATTTTCAAATATGTGAGTAGCACTGAATTCTTATATTGAAGGGTAGCATGGAAATGTTTAAAACGCTGCTTTGGTACCATCAATCGATTCTGATAAAAATTACATTTCAAAAACATTACTTATGCATCACTTCCCTGCAAGGCATCTGCAGAGAATGTGTCAAAAAATCCTAATAATAATTGTGCCTACACAACCAAAACTCTTGGTAGAGAATCAATTGACTGATCCCCATTTTGATTATTTTGACGCTGTGGGCACTTGTGTAACCAGCATCATGAGGTATTAACCAAGGGTTTTATTTTGGCTGTTTTGAAAAAGCAACTGAAAGGGAGACCATACCTTTCTAAGGAAAAATTATAGATTTTTTTTTTAAAAAACCATCACTATAAGTTTTCTAATGAACGGAATTGAAATCTCTGCTAGACAGGGCCTATCTGTTTGTATCTGTCAGAAAAGCCACAGGAAAAACACTGACATTTCCCCCCAAAATGAATAAAGAAATATGACATCAGAATATTTTGTAATTGAGAAAGCCAGATGGTACAGTGGTTAAGACTACAGGTTAGAAACCAGGATACTCTTAGTTCTTGTCCTGCCTGAAGCACAGAGCCAGTCACTCTCTCTTAGCCTGAGCAAGGAGGCAATGGCAAGCATTTCTGAAATCTTGCCAAGAAAACTTCAGAGACTTGTCCAGGTAGTACCAAGCATCAAGACTAATTCAAAGCATCTCTTCCCCAAGCATCAAATTAAGTTTGAAACAGCTTTGTGCAATTTAAAAAGCCATTTACTTCCTTCGAAATGATAATTAGGTTGAGATCTGCCGTGTACTTTTGTAACCTTTTAATATTTTCTTACACAGTTTTTCAGAATAAATATCTCTTTTACTTTTCTTCCAATAGCAAGCACAATATGCATATAATAGATTGTCTGCCGTTGCTATATTTAGCAAGATCTTAAGAGCATCAATGAAACAAACATGCTTGGCCCATCAGCAATATCTATTGCTTTCTAGTTTTTTTACCTGAGATAACCTATTTGGAAGGTGATCTGATTAGCTCCCTCCATTTTCTCTATCTCTTCTCCTGGCAATTCTCCTTCAATTGCATTCTGAATCCTCCTTAACTAGAATCACAATTGGAAGGAAAAGTAATTTTTAGAAGTCAGATTTGCCACAAACAACTGGAATTACAAAACTCCTGTATAGAATAAAACATCCTGTGGGAGAGAAAAGGGACAGCACAGCTTTCTTTTTGCAGGGAAGAGGTTTTGAGGCAGATAAATGGATCAGAACCCTCACTGATTCAGTTTGCCTATGTAGAAATAAATAAAATATTATAAATTCCTGAGGTTGGGCGAAGCTTTAGATTTGATCTAAAATAGATGCTTTCAGATCCCAGCATCTGTCTATTATTTATTTAAGGAGTTGTGCAGGATTGCTAGACTGCGAATGAAATTTTTCTGTAGCAGCAGCATGAACGTGGAAGAGTCACATAGCTGCTTTAATAAATTTCTGACTGTGTTCATGTTCCAGTGCATTCCAAAATACTTCCTATAAATCAGAACCAATGCACTGCACAGCTCCACAGACTGAAACTGTTCTACAACCTTCAGCTTGACAACCTGTAGATATGTTGGATTACAATTCTTAGAATTGCTAGCCAGCAAGGGAATTATTTATTCCTAGCCATCTGGGAGGATATCCAATGAGTAAAAGATGATGGTGACCTATGCCCAATAGTTCAAATAAATGCAAAATGCTTAACTACAAATTAGAATCACATGCTTCCAATTCTGCCAGGCTGAAGATACAACACTTCCATAAAAGCAGTTTTTTGCAGCTTGGAAAATTTGGAACCAACCTGCAATCATCTGCCTATACAAGAGTCAGTGTCCTTTCTCTTTTCTTTGAGATGACTGACCGACCATACATAATCCCATTTCATAATCCAACCAGTGTTCATTCTCACCCCTTGAAGTATTATCAGTCACAAAAATCTGCTTGCTTTCACTTTACACAAAAAGAAAATAAAGTGCTAGGATTCCTTTCCCTGGTGTGAGAACAGGATGCTGAATCTCTGTAAGAAAGATTATGACCAGCTTATTTATTTATTTATTTATTTACTTAAGTTTAGGAAGTAGAATCAGGCAAAATCTCTTGCCAAAGGGAGAATGGATTTTCTGCAGTGGAGTACTGAAAAATGCCCGCCTTGCTGTGATATCTAATAAATTTGTAATGGTAAGAAAGAATGACCTTGGGAGACAAGGGAAGAACAATGGCTTAAACCAGGGGTGTCAAACTCACAGACTCATGTTGTCATCACGTGACGTATTGTGACTCCCCCCCTTTGCTAAACTGGGGTTGGGAGTGGCCAGTGCATGACGCATCTGGCCTGCAGGCCACAAGTTTGACACTCCTGGTTTAAACAATGGCCTGGTAAACAAAATTTGAGATTGAGAAAAGGAGGGGTGGTGAAAGCATTTCAGAAAGGACCTCCTTAGTTTTGGAGAGAGTAAAGTGAAGAAAGGGAGAATTACTTTCAGGTGTGCAAAATTGTATTAATATAACCTTACAATTAAGGCAGAACTAATAATTATAGCCATGCTTCTTATCTGGGCTATCTTGGAATGCTAACAAAATCAGAGCAGTTAAAAGCAAAGATGAATTAATTCAGCTCTCCAAAACAAATCAATCAGGTTTTAGAGTGAATATTCTCAACAGTTTTCATTAGGAATAAAATTGAATCTTTATATAGCCTGTGACCTGCAATGCCCAATGGGAAAGCAAAGAAAGTGGAAAATTGGGCAAGGCAAGACCAGCTGCCATCTGTCCTCAGTTTTATTCTTGTTGCCCAAGGGCAACAGCAGAAGCCAGAAAAGGAAGGCAAAAATCAGATCTGTTGCTAGATGACCTATGCAGGAGATTCCAATTTCAGTTTTCGGCATCTCCAGGCAGAGCTGGGGAAACTGAGAGTTGCTACCAAGTGGAGCAGACAATATTAAACTAGGTGAATTTATGATCTTGCTCAGTATAAGGTCTTATTAAAAGCACGTAGTTACTAACGTGCCATTTCTACTAGGCCAACATTTCTGGCTAATCTGCCCTGACTGAAATGCTGCTTGAGCATTACAAACTTGAAAGATGCTAATAAACAAAAAGGGCTCATTTTTAAAAGAAGGAGCAGTAATCAAAAGCAGCATCTGGCTGCCTAGAATGACATCACATCACAAGGCACAGAGGCACTACAGAGGGAGTGGGATGTCTTTCACAAAATCCCTGCCTCCAGAAACTAGTAGCTTTCTCTGACATGCTGTAACTGTGTCATAAACCCATCCCATATTTTTAGAGACCCAAAGTCTGAACTGGTGATCCCTGCAATGTCTTCAAGTAGTAATCAGGATTTGATTTGACATATTCACCAAATGCTGTCTGTGCTTGGTCTCAAAACCGAACACTTCAGCATAAAAACATCTCACCTTCCACTGAAAGGGATCACAGTTCAAGACTGGATAATAAAGCCCAAAATAACTACAGGGAGCTTCATAATATATTTAGGATAGAAAAAATATTGTAACAATATTGTTCCATTAGTTTTAGAATTGAATTCAATGCATTAGGAATCAATTACAGGTAGTCCTCAATTTATGACCACAATTGAGCCCAACATTTCTATTAAGTGAGACATTTGTTGAGTGAGTTTTGTTCCATTTAACAACCTTTCTTGCCACAGTTGTTAGATGAATCACTGCAGTTGGTAAGTTAGTAACTCAGTTGTTAAATGAATCTAGCTTCTCCATTGACTCTACTTGTCAAAAGATGGTGATCACATGACCATGGGATGCAGCAATGGTCATAAATATGAACCAGTTGCCAAGCATTTGAATTTTGATCACATGATCATGGGGATGCTACAAAAGGCTGTAACTGTGAAAAATGGTCATGTCACTTTTTTCAGTGCCACTGTAATTTTGAATGATCATTAAATGTATTGTTGTAAGTCGAGGACCATCTGTATTCAATAAAGCGCTTTAAACAATGAATCATTCAGTTGCAGCCCATGTTCTACACAGCCTTCTAAAGCACCATCTCCTTGGAAAATCTGAAAGCAGCCATTCTCACAACCTGATGTTCCTTCTCCACTTACCACCTCTTTTTCAGATTTGAAGTCTTCTTCCAAGGAACGCATAGCGTCAAGTTTTTCTGACAGATTAGGTGGGATGGTAGCAAAGGTCTTATAAACTATCAAGAAATAAGGAGGAAAAAAGCTATGAATATGGTTCAGGTAGATCTTGTAATAAAATAATGTATAGTCAGCCAGGCCCACGGTCCCATTCCCCATCTTTTCAAAGTTCTGTTCCCTTCCGCACCTCTGTTTCAAAGTAGTAGCACTCTTCATGATTTGAGAACAGGTTAAATCTTACAGCTCATCTAGATAGCCATAGAAATATACTTTCCTCCCATCTTTCAGAATGGGAATAAGGCTGGTAGTGACTTTAGATTACTTCAGCGATCGGATGGCAATGGGACAAAGGCTATGCAGGGAGGCCCCATCTGAGAGAAAATGTTAGTGCAGTATTCCCACAAGAAGCAGGGTGTGTGGATGAGCTGTTTCTTGGGCTCCTTTCCTTTTTATCAATACTATGAGATTCACCCCTTCAAAAGGATCCTGGCCTTTCATGATTAAAAGATGCTGGCCTTACCCCCCTCTGCTCCCACAAAATATATGGAATGGTGATGATGTTGAAGACAATTTTGCTTTTCAAAAATACTTCAGCAATCTCTAGGTCAGTGATGGTGACATGTGTGTCAAGGGTGACATGCCATGACACTTTTGAGGACATACCAGTGTTCACCAACATCCAAAACCTGTTCTCAAAACACACCCCATTCTTGTGTGATTTTTGGCAGCCAGGTGAGAATGGGAAGTGCTCTTGTACAGCCTCCAGACCCTCCAGTAGTTCCCTATGCTCTTGCGCAGCCTCCAGAGCACTCCAAAATTGTGTGAAGGCCACGGAAGAGCATTGTCCAATGTCAGTTCAAGAATGAGGGCCTTGTGCAACTTGGAGCAGTCTGACATAAGCTGCAGGGGCCTGTCAACAGAAAGAGATCAGGTAAGGTAAACAGGGCATGGCAGATCCCAGGAAATGCCATGTTCAAGGGGAAATCAAAGGCCATTTTGAATGGCAATGGCCTCTATTTCAGGGCCAGCCTCAGCACTACCACTGAATGCAGCAGTTTGGGATTGCTAGACAGGGCAGGGGAAGATAATTGTGCTTTTTTTTTTTTTGGCTTGGGATGCGAGGAGGAGGGAATGACATGCCAACAGAGTCAAATTAGGCATTTTCTGAATTTTTGACATGCGAAGCCCAAAAGGTTCACTATTACTGCACTCGTTTTATTGATGCCTCCCTCTTCTTCACATGCGTTCTCGAGGTATCAGATAAGCTTCGAGGAAAGAATTCTTATATTATAACATGGGGTGAGGGGATTACATGCACATGCAGTCCTTACGTGCATCAGTGAGGAAGTCCTGTAGCCTGCGGAGATCAGAATGGCCACACTTGTAGTAGTCCAGCATGGCGATCTGGTCTCTGAGAGTTTGGTAGAGGTCATTCAGTTGAGAAAGAGAGCGCAGGGCATCCAGCGTCTCCGCGTAGCGACTTGGAGCCAAAGGGGTAGAAGAGGAGGGAATCTCAGAATACCCCATAGGAGTGGTGGTGGGATAGAGCGGAGATGATGGGGGTGTAGCTCCAACACCTAGAACAGGTGGCACAATCAATTGGCCTGAAGGAGCAGCAGGTAAGGCAGGAGGTTGATATCCAGGTGGAAAGAGCCCAGGCCCTCCAAGCTGGCCTGGATATCCAGTTAGGGCTCCAGGATAGAATCCAGGGGCACCAGGATATCCGGGTTGTGTCCCAGTTAAAGCTCCAGGATAGAATGGCTGAACCCCAGGGGCACCAGGATACTCTGCCTCAGTCCCAGGAGCACCAGGATATGGAGCTTGAGCTCCAGGGGCACCAGGATACTCTGCCTCAGTCCCAGGAGCACCAGGTTGGGCCCTAGGAACACCAGGATATGGAGCTTGAGCTCCAGGGGCCCCAGGGTAGAGGCCAGGTACTCCAGGATAGGGGGATTGGGCTCGAGGAATTCCAGGCTCAGCCCCAGGAACAGCAGGCTGGGCTCCAGGAGCCCCAGGTTGGATCCCTGGAACACTGGGAACTTGGGCCCCAGCTGCCCCAGGATATGGGGATTGCCCTTCAGAAACTCCAGGTTGGGCTCCAGTAATACCAGGCTGGGCTCCAGGAGTCCCAGTCTGGTCCCCTGGAACACCAGGATATGGAACTTGGTCCCCAGGTGCCCCAGGATAGGCTCCGGGTGCCCCAGGATAGGGTGGTTGAGCCCCAGGTTGACCCTCTGAAACCTCAGGATATGGAGCTTGAGCTCCAGCTGCCTCAGGATATGCAGCCTGGGCTCCAGGTGCCCCAGGATAGGGGGCTTGGGCTCCAGGACCTCCAGGCTGGACTCCAGGGCCTGCAAGACCTCCGAACTGAGCCCCAGGTGCTTCAGGATAGGGTGCTTGAGTTTCAGGACCTCCGGGCTGCACTCCAGGTGCCCCTGGACCCCCGGGCTGGGG